TAGTAAGGAAATGCACTCAGCAGTGCCCTGTAAAGTGGCTAAGATGTGCTTACTTAACTACCGTATGCTTGTTTGAACATCTCAGTGATTTGGAGTTGGAAATGGAACTTGGGCCTTTGATTGTTTACTTTTTGGTTTTTGTTTCTTGTTCTTTTAAGGTGGCTTTGAGGCCTATCCAAACATTTAATAGACTTTGTCTTGGAGGTAAAGATACTGAACTTTAGAGGAAATCCCTGAATCTCTGATGCAGAGTGAAACTCATCATTCCCTACTTTTGGCTGCCAATGCACCACAGCTTAGATATTATTGATAATGTGATGATATTTTCACCTCAGTTTTAGGTTCCATTATCATTATGGAGCCCTGTACTTTTCATTTATAGGCAAATCAATGTTTTCTGGGCCAGATAAATACTTAGTGACATAATGAATTTCAATCTATGACATCATTGTCAACTTGATTGTTCTATAACTAAAACCTTGTCGGCATGTTTAGGGGAAATCACTCTAATCATTTGAGAGTAATTGTGGCTGTGTAAATGGAGATACCGCATCAGAATTGAGTATAACGTGGCCACACTTCTATTGGAAATGCCATGTACACTAAAGGAAGCAGCTCCAGCTTTTACCCAAAGGAAGTAAGCCGAGGTCTGGGCCATTCCAGGAAGCAGCTTAGAAAGTTCTTTGAAATATCCTTCTTTACCTTCCAAATGCATGCTCATTTGGCATTCAACTTTAGATTTCTTCATACTTGTTTTTAAAATAAAAATAATTTTACACAAAATTTTCAGTAGAATGATGCTCCTGGGCAGGCACCCTTGCCCCTGGGCATAGATGCTTACCTCTGGGAACAGAAGGCACCTGTCTGAGAAGCCCTGATGTCCTGGGAGGCTGGAAAACCGGGGATATAGGTCAACATGCATATATGACTGTGTGATTAGATGCTGCTGCATGTTTTTAGCAAACCACTTCATCTTTCATGCAGTGATACTGTGCAAAGAAAGGGTAGAATTTGAATAACATGCTGGAGAGTAAAGGCCAAGGGAGCCTCGTTAACTGAGTTACAGTCTCCGGACTGCTGAAACAGAAGATCCCCTGCCAGGGTGAAAAGAGCTGGTCTTCACACTCTCTTGCTGAATTGCAGTTTTAGGGGTGTGCAACAGTGGTGTGAATTCATGCTTACGACTTTCCAAAAGGCAATTGTAAAGAGAAAATGAGAATGGGAGTTGGAGAGACATCTGAATTAACCTCAAAGCCCTTAATTTAACTCTTAGAGCTTCTCAATACCCTGCAGAATCGTCTATGCCCCACAATAGATTCAGTTTGGAATCTGTTAAACCATTTGCCAAGTAGGCTCTACTGTGGAAACATTTGGGTACAAGACATACACAGTGAAACTGCCAGAGCTTCATTGGGGAGAGAGGGGCAACAGGGCCCAGCGCCAAGCAGTTAGAATGGCAGTCAGGCATCAGACAAGCCACAGAGCAAAGTGAGCTTGTCAGCCCTGAGAAGACAAGCCATCTCCCTGACAACAGGCCTACAGCCTCAGATTGCTCCAGGGTAAAACTGTTTGGGCTGAGTCTTCACGTCATTTTCACAGTCAATAAACTGTAAAGAGTCTGTCTGTGAGTACAGCACATTTCTCAATGTCAAATATGCTTCTGCAATGCATTTTGAGCAAGAAGTCAGGATGTCAAACCTCCCTAAGACTGGGCAAATATTTTTACTTCCTGGAAAATGTTTATTATGGCTACTGTTCCCTCTATTTTTGTATCATCAGTGTGGTGCTTAGATGACTTTGTAAATGATGTTAGGGAAAAGCCAAGAATTTAGGTAGAATTTCATGGAGACTTAAATGATGTGTTTCCTCACTGAACTTAATAGCTTTTGAAAAATATACTCTTTTTTCTTCTTTTTTTTGGGGGGGTCTACAGACCTGTTTTTGATGCCTTCAAGATGAAGAGGCTTCTTTGTAAATACTCTGAATGCCAGCAGAGGAACATTTAAATATGAAGAATCAAAATATGTATGCTTTAAAAAGAAAGAAATAAATGTACCATCCTTTGTTATCATTGCATGTTTGAGCTCATTTCAGCTTAGCATGAAATATGCAGTTTAATCCTACACCTTTTAGAAAATATACAATGGAATACACATATTTTAGACTTATAATTCTATAAACTATAATTATTAAAATTATAGTTTTTGTTGTTCCCCCAAAGAACTTATATTCTCAGAAAGAGGCAAGCTTGCAGTGAGCATTTTTAAGTTAGAATTAGGAGCCAGAGTCTTTAGCCATTGATTGTAATTGTCCTGGTGGTGCAGTACAGCACTGTGAGGAGGCGTGGTCAGCCTGTGGAGAACTCCCACATCTGTGTCCAGGCACAGGCTTGCAAGAGAAGAAAAGTTCACAACATGAAGGAATTTGGAAGCCCTGATTATGCCATGAGGACTGGCCATCTTCAGAGTTAAGAGTGTGATCTCTGAGCATGTGGTCTCTGAGCTGATGGCTGATCTCCATTTCTTAGTGTCAGCCATTGATGGGAATAACAAACAGAAAGTAGGAAGGAGAGGGCCCTCAGATATAAAGAAAGTTAATTGTTACCAAAATGCCAGAGGTTTGTTCTAGGTCCCATTGCTCCATGCATAGAAAGCCAATCACTGCGACAACAAGTATTGCCAGGAAAGAAGGCTTTTTATTTGGGTGATGTTAATTGGGAGAATGGTGATAAGTTTCAAAGCCATCTCCTTGACCAACTAAAATTGGGGTTTATATATCAGGAAAGGAATGTAAAACAGGAACAAAGGAGGGGTCCAAGGAACTAAGGAAGACGAATGAGGGGTCTGACATCTCATGGTCTAGATGTGGGCATATGGTGAGTTTCAGTCCCTTACTTGAGAGTCAGTTTCCTGAGGAAGGAATTCCAATGAGACTGTAACTGCTGAAGGGGTTCACCTTGCCCACTACTTAGACAGAGCCAATTCATCAAGACAGGGGAATTGCAATAGAGAAAGAGTAATTCATGCAGAGCCAGCTGTAAGAGAGACTGGAATTTTGATGTTACTCAAATCCATCTCCCAGAACATTCAGGGAATAGAGTTTTTAAGGATAACTTTGTTGTGGCGGGGGAGGGTCGGGTAGCCAGTGAGCCAGTGCTGATTGCTCAGAGATGAAATCACAGGGAATCAAAGCTGTCTTCCTACAGTAAGTCAGTTCCTGACTGAGGGCCAAAAGATCAGATGAGCCAGTTTATTGTTCTTGGTGGTGCCAGCTGATCCATCAAATGCAGGGTCTGCAAAATATCTCGAACACTGATTTTAGGAACAGTTTAGGGAGGGCCAGAATCTTGCAACCTCCAGCCGTATGACTCCTAAACCATAATTTCTAATCTTGTGGCTAATGTTAGTCCTACAAAGGTAGTCTAGTCCCCAGGCAAGAAGGAAGTCTGCTTTGGGAAAGGACTGTTACCATCTCTGTTGAAACTGTAAACTAAGTTTCTCCCAAAGTTAGTTCAGCCAAGGCCCAGGAATGAACAAGGACAGCTTGGAGGTTAGAAGAAAGATGGAGTCAGTTAAGTTAGATCTCTTTCACTGTCTCAGTCATAATTTGGCAAAAGCATTTTTAAGACAAATGTAATGTTCAAGTTTTTATAACACCTCAGAACCCATGAGAGTTTTGACTCACCTGGCCATGTTTTACTCTGATTCTTATCAAATAAGACTCTAAGGGACAGATAGGAGTCAAAGAGTTTGACAATCTCTTATCTGGTCTCATCCATTCCATATGTCACTACATTGGTTGGCTCCCTTTGCTGAACAGCCCAGTTTCCATGAGATGTACATCACAGTTGGGCCTCAGGGCAGCCATACCAAGATCTGTCCACACGCTGCAGCCAAGCTCACAGGCTCACCAGGGGTACCTGCTTCAGTTTGAAAAGATGAATAGTAATCCCTTTGTACTCTTGGCTGAAGCTGTGAGCCCTGTGATGCCCCATCATTACTCCTGGTCTCGTATCAGGCAGGTTGATATGCATATCCAATCACAACTCTTACAGCATCAAGAATAGTAAGAGAAGAAAGAAAAAGACTGAACCCACACAATCTACAAACAATGAGATTCTGAACAAGAGATTATGGACATTTTCATTTTTCTTTTCCTAGTACAGATTATCTTCTAAAAAATGGACACTGGATTTGCTTAATACCCAGAGATTTAACATTATTTTTTGCAAACATACAACACATGCAAAGGTAAACAGGAAGAGTTATTCTGCCTTCAAATAAATTCTCAAAATCATTTCTGAATAAAACCTTCCTAGAAGAGAATGGAAGCAAAAACTTTAGCTATATTTATTGACCTATTACTGAATATTGAGCAATGATGAAAAAGAAAACATTTTAGCAACATTATTTTCAAATACCTACTAGACTGCAGATAATCCATATAACAATTGTGTTCTGAAATTTCCCAGGAAGGCAGCTGCTTAATTAAGAGAGACCTCAGAAGAGCTGCTTAATGCCATGTTCGGGCTCCTCCCCAGCAGTTTCCTGGAAATCCCTAAATAATAATAAGTGGAGATGCAGCAGATCAACACTCTACTTTGCTAAATGGAAACACATTATAATTACAACAGTAAACATCTATTGACCTATCATTCTAATGCCTTAGGCCCTGCTTTGATAAATACTTTTTGCAAATTTGAATGTGAAAAGACATTGTTTGCATAAGTAGTTACAAAGGGTCTTTTCTATTACAGTAATTGTGTGTGTTGATTTTCATTTCCCTGAAAAGTACCCATTACCCCCACTAGCAGATCCTCTACTACTGGGAAAGACATTAGGTTGCTAGAAGCTTCTTTTAATCAATAGTTGCCCAGTGAAATCACTGTCTTCGTTGCCTGTAGCTGGTAAAATAACTGTGAATAAGCATGCTTGTGTTGAAGTGTGAATATCCATTTCAGTGCTTGTTTTGCTTATCTCCCATTTTCTTTCTTTTTACAGATTTTTAAAAGCATTGGCTCTGATGAGACTGTCCAAGGACAAGGAAGTCGGAGGCTGATCAGCTTCTCTCTCTCAGGTATGTTTTGCTCACCTAGAGGTCTTGTGGGGAGAATAAGAATGTCAACCAAGAGTCAGGATACCTGCTTCCATTCCACTCTTAACTACAAGTCACTCAACCTCTCTGTGCCTCAGTTTCTCAGTCCTTAAAGCAAAAATATGTTTTGAATCTGATCACTTCCCCTTGACCACATAAGGATAATAGTTTAGGAAGTAAGAGATGTGAAAGCAGACTGAGATAATGGGAACGGAGGCTACAGTTCTACCTCTCCCCTAGGGCCACATAGCAGTAGTTGAGAGTAGACAAAGGGACACAAGGAAAATAAGGAAAACCTAGGAAGAGAAGCAGCTATTCAACCCTTTGTCTTAAAAAAAACCTCACATGGGGCACAATTGGCAAAACAGATAACTGAGCCACTCAAAAATGCACATTCATGGAAAAAAGAATCAGTCGAATCCAATTAGTCTGTTAACTAATAGTATTTTAGTTTAATATTTAAGAGTAAGTTAACGTTTTAGTTTTCATGAATGTACTGTCATATGTTAATAATGGGGCAGACTGGGCAAAGGGTATGTGGGAAATCTTTGTATTGTCTTTAGAACTCTTCTGTAAATCCAGAATTATTTTAAAAATTTAAGGCCAGGCATGGTGGCTCACACCTGTAATTTCAGCACTTTGGGAGGCCAAGGCAGGCAGATCGCCTGAGGCCAAAAGTTCGAAACCAGCCTGGCCAACATAGTGAAACCCCGTCTCTACTAAAAATACAAAGATTAGCTTGGCATGGTAGTCCGTGCCTATAATCCCAGCTACTTGGGAGGCTGAGGCAGGAGAATCACTTGAACCTGGAAGGCAGAGGTTGCAGTGAGCCGAGATTGTACCACTGCACTCTAGCCTGGGCTACAGAGTGAGACTCCAACTCAAAAACAAAATCAAAAAAATAATTAAAAGTTTTTAAAAACCTGAGCTGCTCTGGCTAACATGATATACAAAGCTCAGGGCTTCACATACTCGATCCCACCCTAAACAGTCTTTAAGGGGACACAGCAGCATAAAACTTGAGGACTCCATTGAGCACAGCTGGAAAACTACTACCTCAGCTTGTCAAATCAGCAGATGTTGCAGGCCATGAATGCCAGCAATCAGAGGTCACAAACATGAAGTACATGTGCTTTCTTGGAAGCTACACAGTAAACTGGGGCTTTTCAAGTCTAAATAAGCTCAATAAAGCAAATATGTTTTGATCCATTAACAATATGAGCATGTGTATGTCTAAGCTGAAGGAAAAAAAAGAAGAAAAAACTTGTAACCACCCAATGGGTTCACCTTGCCCACTGCCCAGACAGAGCCAATTTATCAAGACAGGGGAATTGCAATAGAGAAAGAGTAATTCACACAGAGCTGGCTGTGCAGGAGACCAGAGTTTTAGTATCACTCAAATCAGTCTCCCTGAGAATTCAGGGATCAGAATTTTTAAGGATAGGTTGGTGGATAGGGGCCAGTGAGTCAGGAGTGCTGATTGGTTGTGTTGGAGGTGAAATGTTAAGGAGTTGAAGCTCTTGTGAAATCATGAGGTGAAATCATAAGGAGTTGTCCTCCTGTGCTGAGTCAGTTACTGTGTCGGGGCCACAAGATCAGATGAGCCAGTTTATTCACCTGGATGCTGCCAGCTGATCCATCAAGTACAGGGTCTACAAAATATCCCAAGCAGTGATCTTAGGTTTTACAATAGTAACATTATCCCCAGAAGCAATTTGGGGGTAGTCAGAATCTTGCAGCCTCCAGCTGCATGACTCCTAAATCATAATTTATAATCTTTTAACTAATTTGTTAATCTTACAAATGCAGTCTAGTTTCCAGGCAAGAAGGAGGTTTGTTTTCAGGAAAGGGCTGCTATTGTCTTTGTTTCAAAGGTAAATCATAAACTAAGTTCCTCCCAAAGTTGGACCTATGCCCAGGAATGAACAAAGACAGCTTGTAGGTTAGAGGCAAGATGGAGTTGGTTAGGTCAGATTTATTTTACTGTTTCGGTTATAATTTTGCAATGGTGGTTTCAAACTCACTAATTTTGTACTACTTGGACAAAAGCTAGCAACTCCTATTAAAATGATTAAGAAATAACAAGTATTAGTACCAACCTTCAAACACAGAAGAAACCAGGAATACTGCACAACTGGGTACCAGAAACCAAGAGGAATTGTCACTAACCAAAGCTCCAGTTAAGCCCAAGTCCTGAAGCCCAAGAGGAATGCCAGGCAGGGTGAGCAGGGCAAAGCTCGGGAAGGACAGTATTCCTTCATCTCTACTTTGCTTCTGCCATGAAGACATGGGCTCACAGGCCTACCAGAGGAGGAAGGCCCCCACCACCCCAACTTGGTTCACAAAGCTACTTTATAAGGTGAGGGGTTCATTCATCTCCTGCAGTCCCCAAACACATCATTTTTCTTACATGTATTCAAAGACAACAATTCCCAGCAAAGGGAAATGACTAGGGATATAAAGTGAGTAGCTACTAGAGCAAGCCTGGAATGGTCATGGACATATAATGTTCAGTAGTTGGATACGTATGCATGTGTTGTGTTCACTATATCTGCCTGGGACAAAAGGCAAATACTGCTGAAGCTATCAAAATAAATTCTATGCAGCCAAGCATGGTGGCTCACACCTATAATCCCAGCACTTTGGGAGGCCAATGCAGAAGGATTGCTTGAGCCCAGGAGTTTGAGACTACCTGGGTAACGTAACAAGATCCCATCTCTACAAAAAAACAAAAAAAAAAAAGCCAAACATGGTAGCATGTACCTATAGTCCCAGCTACTCAGGAGGCTGAAGCAGGAGGATCACTTGAGCTAAGGGATTAGAGGCTGCAGTAAGCTCTAACTGTGCCACTGTGCTCCAGGCTGGGCAACAGAGCAAGACTATGCTTCAAAAGACTAAAATAAAGTAAGAATAAAAATAAATTCTGTGCCTCAAAGAAAAACAAAACAGAAAGATCAGCAAAGCCTATAAAACATCAAAAATTTTCTCCATGCTGGTCAGCTCTGAGTATAAGAAGAGAGCTAAGGACTCCAGCAGCAACCCCTTGGACGACCAGACTCACTAAAGATGGACAAATGCTGGGACTACAAGGCATGCTCATAGGTAAACAACAGAAATTTTGACTTGAAGAATGTGTAGAGAAAATAATCTACCGTATTAAAAAGTTGAAGACTACAATACTCAAGAGAAAAACGCAACTATTTTACTGATAAACACCTATTAAAGAAAAGTAAAGTATTTATCATTCTTCCACTTGTACCCTCAACAAAATAGAGGAAAGTACAGAGCATATTAAGTAAGAGATCAAAGATGAGAAAAGAGGATAAGGGAGTTTTCTGAAGCTTGCAAAAACTGAAACTTAGAAAGTCAAGTGTATTTGCTTTCTCTTGCTGCTATAACAAATTGCCACCAACTTAGTGGCTTAAAACAGCACAACTGTACTCTTATTGTCCTGGAGGTCAGAAGTCCAGAATGAATCTTAAGGGACTAAAAGCAAGTTGTCACCCAGGCTGGTTCCTTCTGGGGACTCCGGTGTAAATCTATCCCTTGCCTCTTTCAGGTTCTAGGGGCTACTGGCATTTTTTGGCTCATGGCTACATTGCTCCAATCTCTGCTTCTTTCATCACGTTGCCTTCTCACTTTGCTCTTCCTGCCTCCATCTTACCAGGACCCTGTGATTACGTCACACCCACCTGGACAGTTTATGATAAATCTTTCCATTGCAAGATCCTTAATTTAGTCACTGTAGGAAATAAGAATAAATAAAAGGTTCCTCCTCAAAGCTTTCCTCTTAGTTCATTATGAATAAATAATAGTTTCTTCAAAGGTTAATTTACTTTAAAGCTTTTGCTAATAAAGTAACCGTCAGTCATAATAAAGAAATAAGTGTATCGCATGTTCTGAGTTCTTACACTTTAACCTAGATATTTGCCCTGACATGCCTGGGCTTCTTAGATAATAGCTTATTCCCCTTCCTTATTTGGAAATGTTATTGCTTCTCTAAGCATTCAAGTTACTTCTCTTTTCCTTTGGTCTCCTCTGTCTTCACGTCTTTAGAAAAGTTTTAAGTTGTTAGCCAACCAGGTGCAACCTAGACTGTGAAGTCCAGTTCCAGCCAATGGAATCAGGACACAGCAGTAAGGCAGATGTGTGAGATATAAATGGCCCTGCTTCCTTCGTTCAGTATCCTCTCGTGGCAAGATGGCTAATGAGAATACCCTTTCCACAGAAATTAAAGTTGCCTTGCTGAGAAAAATTAAATTTATATTCAAGTGCTACTTCTTTTGTGGCACCAAAAATTTACATATAACAGTCACTCTGCAGAGTCCCTTTTACCATGTGAGGTAACATATTCACAGGATTCAAGGATTAGGATGTGAACATCTTTGTGGGGTCATTATTCTGCCTACCACAGTCAACAAGAGATTTAAAATAAACTCTAAAAAGTACAGTCACATAATTAAAAGCCTTCAAAAGCAGTATAGAGCACAATCACCACTACAGAAAGAGAATCAGTGATATGACAGATTGACTTGAGAGTCTCTCCCAGAAGGCATCAATGAAGGACAAAACCCGAAAAGGATGAGAAAAATATAGATGAATGGCACATACAGAGCCAACACATAATCAGTGTTTTTGATGAAGAAATCTGAACAAACTGAACAGAAACAGTAATAGGAGAAAACTTTCTTGAGCTGAAGATAATTTTTAGTATTTAAATTAAGGAAGACCATCAGGTGCTGAGAAAAAGAAATGTATATGAAGAGACCAACACCTAGACAAATCTCATTTAAAAAGATATATTTTTTTCAAATATGGCCATAGTAGACATCTGGGCTGAAAATGCATGATATGTACAAAAGAACAAACCTCATGCTAATCTCAGACTTGTCTTTTGAGATGCCAAAATAATGAAGTAAAGCCTACCAAGTGATATGGACAGGAGACAGGTAGAAAAGGGCAGTTCCCCAGCAAAGGCCCCACCCTCAATCCTGAAAACCCACGGCCCTAAATGGGAGCAGGCATTCCTCTTTTCACACTGAAATGTTGCCTTTTGGCCCACCATGCCCCTCTATCTTGTACCCATATAAACCCCATACCCCAGGCTTCACAAGCAGATGAGCAGAGCAACAGAAGAGTGGCACAGCAAAGAAGGAGAGAAGAGAAGGAGCATCCAAGTGTTGAGAGGAGTTCAGTTAGGGGAGGTCACAGAGGAGATTGGCCAACGGACAGCCAAACTCCAGGGGAGATCATCTTCCCACTCCATCCCCTTTCCAACTCCCCATTCATCCTGCTGAGAGCCACCTCCACCAATCAGTAAAACCCCTGCTTTCACCATCCTTCAAGTCAGTGTGTGATCTGATTCTTCCAGGTGCCTGACAAGGATCCAGGTACCAAGAGGGCAGAGTTGATTAATACTTAAGCCATCACACACGGCAGAGCTAAAGGAGCACTGTAACACACCCACTGGGGCTTCAGGAGTCACAGACACCACCGCAGATGCTACCATGGGGCTGGAGCCCAAAAGCACTCACCCCGGCTCCTGCATTGTCTGCATGCTCCCTCTCCCATCAGGGGTTTGAGTATATGAGCCACACCCTTGTTGCAAGTCTTGTGAGGGGGGTCAGGGAACTCTCCCATTTCACAAGTTCTAAGGGGAGCATTTTTTAACCAAAGATGTCCATGTCCACCAGATTGTCATTTATGTGGGAAGGCAAGAGAAACACCCTCAGGTCTGTAAGGGATCAAAGACTACCACCCTTACACCTCACTTTAAAATAATATGTGAGCGTGTACTCCAGCATACAAAGATAAAATCCAAGAAAACTCAAGAATTGGAGACACTGCAATATAAAAACACTAATTTTCTTTTTAGTATTTAAAAGGAGAAATAATCAGAAAGTAGATAATGGAGTTGCCTTCTTAGAAAGCCCCAAGAATACAATGAACATATCAAAGCAAGATTGTTCACACAAGTGCTTTACCTGTCAAATCTATTTATATTTCCTATTTTTACCACTTCCTAGAGGTAATAAATTTTCTAGTTAAATATTATCACTCTAATATTCAATGAAGTGCACTTTTAGCATTCTAAATAACAAAATCAGAAATGCAAACAAAGGTTTCTTTACAAATATATTAGAGACAACATAAACATTCAGAATTAAGGCTTGGTTAAATAAATTACCATAAAGCCAAATGATGAAATACTATGTACCCTTAAGAACTGTGTATACAAGATGTTCTAAAAGGAGTGAGAAATAATTTTTCTTCTAGTTTTCATAAGTTCTTAGCTGAGGACCCCCTGTCCGTACACTCTGCTGTAGATGTGGCCTGGGTTTTGCAAATTTCTGTGATGTTTGTACTTCCTGCCTTTTTTCCTCTCATTGGCAATTGTGGGGGCAAAAGTGACTCCGTTGTGGATGCAAACCACTGTGCTGATTTCTGATCAGCCTCAGTCCCACGAATGCCTCCAATTCCCACTTTATCCACTGTCTCTAGTGTAAGAACATGTCAACCTTAATGTGATGGCAGAAACAATAGGCTGCGATGCATGCAGCATTCCTGCCTGTGCTAGAGAGATGCCTCTCATTGGCTTGCACAGAGCAAGGGCTTATGTAGCCCTTCCCTATGGTACATAAGCCCTGTGTCTGGAGAGTAACAGTGTGGAGATCTACCAGACTCCTGCAGCCCAGGACCATGCTTGGCTGTGAGTTCCCAAATCTATCTCGTTTCACTGACAAACTAGATTTGTCTGCTTCCTTCTTTGGTTTCTCAGCTCCTTTGGCATTTGGGGGCCATTTTGAATATATGGCTCTTTCACAGAGCAGTACTATATTATGCCAGAGAGTAGGTATAATTTTATTAGGGGGATAACCTTGGATTAACTCAAAATAATTTTTAAATAAATGCATATGAAAACATCTGTGCTTTTTCATCAGTAACAAATCTTTGATACACTTCACAACTTATACCATGACTGGGAATCACTGACCCTGTGTATCTTTATGTCCTTTTGTTTCACTTGTGTATAAATGTAAAAAAAAATTGTTTGAAAAATTCTTCAATGACAGAAAGGCTTCAAAAATTATATTCTTTGGCTGGGCGCGGTGACTCACTCCTGTAATCCCAGCACTCTGGGAGGCCAAGAGGGGATGGACCACCTGGGGTCAGGAGTTCAAGACCAGACTGGCCAGCATGACAAAACCCCGTCTCTACTAAAAAATACAAAAATTATCCAGGCATAGTGATGGGCACTTGTAATCCCAGCTACTCAGGAGGCTGAGGCAAGGAGAATTGCTCAAACCCAGGAGGCAGAGTTTGCAGTGAGCCGAGATCCTGGCACTGCACTCCAGCCTGGATGACTCTATCTCAAAAAAAAAAAAAAAAAAAGGTATATTCCTTGATATCATAAATATATTTCTAATAAATATAATGTGATTTCAAATTATCCTAGAACAACTATAAACCATTGTCATAAATGATCTTGTGCACACACTTTCTGTCTCTGTCTCCTTGTGCAGCATGAAATGGTACATGATCAGGTATCTTCAAAGCCCTGCCCTGCCTGGTAGCAGGGTTTCTTAGAACTCCCCTCATTGGTGGCACTCAGCCCCATGGAGGTCAGGTCTTATTTGTTCCTTCCTCCATCGTCCACACTCTGTGCTCTTTTCATCCTCTCCTCTCTCTTTGTTTCTGCCAGTTCTCTCTCCTTACTCAGTGAGGCCCACATATACTGTGAGACTACAACCCTTATTTTTGTAATGTCTCCACCTTGCAGAGGAATTTTACACCCAGAGACCCATCAAATTTCCAGAGTTGGACTTTCTCTCCCTGTGCTACTCACGTTTCCCGGGGTGATCCTCCCTCCTTCACCCCGTCGCGTTTACCTTACTGAGTAACACTAGCGATTCCGTTCATAAGGGCCAATGGTCCTTTCATGAAAGGTGTAGTTACCAAATGCCAGTTGTTAACCTCCCTAAAACATTTAAATTAAAATATCCTTTATTTTATAGATTTCCAAGCCATGGGGTTGAAGAAAGGGATGTTTTTCAATCCAGACCCTTATCTGAAGATTTCCATCCAGCCTGGGAAGCACAGCATCTTCCCCGCCCTGCCTCACCATGGACAGGAGAGGAGATCCAAGATCATAGGCAACACCGTGAACCCCATCTGGCAGGCCGAGGTGAGTGCTACGGGCCTGAAAAGAAGCCCAAATTACAAAGTGAAAGGGCTGACTGTGAACCAGCCCTCCTCCTTCCCTCCATTCGTGGTGCCCTGGACTCTGCCGTTCAATCTGTGGCTGTCATGGTCTTAGAAGGGAGCCATTGTTCTCCATGGGTTGCAACACAGGCATCTTGATCAAATCCCTCCAGACAGTACTAACAAAATTCTCATTGCACTGCACACTCTTCTGATTCGAAACCCATGCTGCAAGCAGGACGACCTTTCCCTCTGCCCTTCGTGTGGGAGAAGGAAGAGAAGAGCTGTGATCGGAGCCTTCCAGTTTCCCCACAGCGCTCCTCATGCCTGTGATCCTTGAGAAGGGTGTCAATTCTTAAATGTAGCCTTCTAGCTAGTTCCAGAGATTCTAAAACGATCAGGTTCCTGGGATAGGTGAATCAGTAAGCCCTAGAATACCCGTGGTTGGGTTAAATATTGTTTGATTTCAATAGATAATGAAGCCTAATGGTTTATCCCATCTTCATGGTTGGCACGGGGTTGGGCAGCTTGCTAGAGTATTGAGTAGTCTGTGTTGTCTACAAAGGCCCTTCTCCACTCCGAAATGTGTTCCCTTGGCCAGTCATGAGTTAGGAGGGTCCTCAAAGTTCTCTCCTCAAGAACATGCAGAAAGTCATCACGACTCATTTGGCCAGGCAAGATAGCTCACATCTGTAATACCAGCACTTTGGGAGGCTAGGGCAGGTGGATCACTTGACTCCAGAAGTTCAAGACCAGCCTGGGCAATATGGTGAAACCCCGTCGCTACCAAAATAAACAAATAAATAAATAAAAACACAAACTTTGCTGAGCATGGCGGTGCATGCCTGTGGTCCCAGCTACTTGAGAGCCTGCTGTGGGTGGATTGCTGAGCCTGGGAGGCAGATATTGTAGTGAGCTGGGATCATGCTGCTGCACTCCAACCCAGGTGACACAGTGAGACCATTTCTCTAAAAAAGAAAAATATAATAAAGTCCACCACCCCTTTGGCTGCCTCCCTGCCGGACCTGAGCTTGAATCTATAAACTGCGAACCATGTGGTTGAGGGGCAGGGAGGCCTAGGTCGTAAGAGTGGATGGATTGTAATGTAGGTTAAAAGTAGTTTTACAGTCATAGAAACCTGGGTTCTAATCCCAGCTTGGCCAGTTAAAAGTTTTATACATTTGAGAGATCAGTTATCCTCCACTTGAGCTTAGATTACCCTCATCAGCCTATTACTGATGGAAACGTGCTCCCACCGAAGGAACTTGCTTTGGAAAGAATTTCTTCCTTTATTTTTCACAATAGATCATCTCTGACTTAGAGCTCTCAAGCATCCTTGACAAGAAAAGATAATTAGATATAGGAGAGCAAAGATTTTTTATTATCTATTAAATCATTGCACTCCCTTCCTGGGCTTAATTAACCCTCTCCCAGGCTTCCCAGAAGAGCTTCGTTAGAGCTTTGAAGTGGACATGAGGGAAATAGACTTGTACTTAAACTTCCTCGAGCGTTGGTTATCAACAGATTCTAAAACACTGACAGCACCGCCAGAATGGAATAATGAATCTTAATTTGTTTCTTCAGTCCTAGCTATGCTCATCAATTATTTCTGAACTCTTCCCTGCATTCCTAGGGATAATAAAAGATGCCACAGGAATTTATTTTGTTTGAAGGGGAAAGGCTTCTGTCTTCTGAAAGACTTGAGAGGAACTTATTCTAAGACATTTAGTAATAAAGCTGTTACAAGTGTCAAAGAATGTTTGTAAAATCCAGCACCATCAGAATGTTTTTTGGCTAAAAACGTCAACGAGAATCCACTTTAAGTTCTGAAATGATTTCTGAAGCTTTGGTTATGACTAATTTTGTTCTGGCAGAATTCTGGCAAACTCTCCCTAGCCCTCTGCTCTGGGCCACATCCCTTCCACCCCGCGTGCTGCAGTTGGAGTTACTGATCTAAAATCAGCCTCATCATATGTCCCCCTGATAAGGCTCAGGCTGAGGATAACTGATGTCTCAAGTTAAACAGAGTGTAACTGGCTGAATGGAGATTTGAACCAAGGTCTGTGCTGCTACAAACATGACCTTTCAGCCCCTAAATTGCACTACATTTCCCAGGGTCCAAATGTCATAGCTCCACTGCAGAACATTGGCCTTCTTTGATCAGGCATTGCTTACCGTTATGTCAGGTAAGGATGTATTTGGCTCTAAGCAAGGGGAAGTCTGGCCAGCTCTGATATTTCTCACAAACAAGAAGTCCGGAGGGAGGTGATCCAGGGTCTGCTGAGTGAGCTCCCAAGGCTCCCAGCTTTCCGGGTCTACCCACTGCACCGTCCTTAGCAGATGGCCTCATCCTCCTCTGTTAAAGCCTCAAGCCCAAATTCCAGGCAGGAAGAAAGCAACAGGCCACAAAAGCCTTTTCCTTGCAAAACTTTGAATTTTCTTCCTGGGAGAAAAGCCCTTCCCAGCTAATACCCTGTTCCCTCCCACATGGCCTCACCTGGATGGAAGTACTTAGTGTCTCACTTTCCTGATTCTGGTAGGGGGAGGCAGGGGAGAAGGTGGTTGAACACAGGTATTGAATAAACCAGCTAATAGCACGTGCGACATCCTCCAGCCTGACTCCCCACTGTCTTTCACCTCAGACCTATGCTAAGGCCACTCCCCAAATGCCCCACATGCTTTCACGTTGCCATGTCTTTCATAGATTTTGTCTTTACTTACATGTGTCTAAAATGCACATCCTACCTAATCCACCCAGCGACTCCCACCCATCCATCAAGTCTCAGCTAAAATGTCACTTCCCATATGGGGCACTTCTGGACTCCCCAACCCCAGGCCTCAGGAACAAAGCACTTCCTTGTACAGACTCTACCATGGCGTTGCCAGGTTTCTTTCATTTCCACCTCTGTCTTTCCCACAAGACATTGAAGAAAAGGAAATCACCCCTAATTCATCTGGGTATTTCCAGTTCCTGGAACCTACCAATAGTAGGTTATCCAGGATTTATAAAGGGCTTACTATGCCAAGCAGTGTTCTAAAGATTTTATGTAATTAATACACTTAATCCTCACAATACCTCTATGAGGTATGCACTATTATAATCTTTGTTTAAAGGAGAGGAAACTAAGGCAGAGAGAAGTTAAGTAAATTCAGCTGGTAAATGGCAAAACCAGTGTTTGAACCAGGTAGTCTACCTTTAGAGCCTGATACTGAACAGTTGTTCTTAGGCAGTTGTGAGTAAATTCTGGAAGAGTTATCAACAATTTATACCAGATATTCAAACTGACCGCAACCTCTCCCTTTCATTTAAGAAATGTCTATTAAATGTCTACTCTGTGGTAAAAATAGAAGTCACTGAAAGGACACTGATTGACAGATAAAAGCTCTCAGATTAGTAGAAGGAGACAACACAACACAGTAAATGTGCTAATCGAAGTATGAACAAAAGACTACAGAATACAAAGAGAAGAGCACCATGCCTGAGAGAAGACTTCACAGGGGATGTGCAACTGGACTTGGTCTTCCCAGGAGACAAAACGCTTTTCAGGGTGGAAGGGTCCTTTCAGGCCGAAGGAACAGCATTTGCAAAGGTACCAAGGCATCCCACAGACACTTAGGATACTGTTTCAAAATATTATATGGTTAGAGCTGGTGGTGTGTATAGACAAGTGGTGGTAACTGAGCTGGGCTTACTCTAGTCACACACATTTAGCATGGTTCCCTTATTCCTTGCAAATAAAAGCTAATGTTGGCTTTGGGGTCTCACATTGCACCTTGGTGAGTGAAATGATGATACCCTGTTCCAAAAGGATTCATTCAAGTCTTCAAATTTCTATGCAAAAGCATAAGAATGAAACTGTCCTGTTTTCTGTGTTTACTGACTAATATATAAAGTACATTCTGTGAGAAACAATTGAAGTTTCCTGCACTTGAGTGCAAGAACATCCTTTAATATGTAGTTTAAATGCTACATTTATTTCTGTGGTTAATGTTGCATTTAAGTCTTATGCGATTCTTTTCAAATTTATGTAAATTCAAACTTGAAATATTTCTTTTTGCTCATTAAGCCGTATTAATCACAGCTACTTGGGAGGTTGAGGTGGGAGGATTACTTAAGGCCAGGAGTTCGAGGCCAGCCTGAGCAACATAGTAAAACTCTGGCTCAAAAAAAAAAAAAAAAAGTTAAATCCTAGGACAATTTAAGTTTCTACTAGAATTTTAAGATGAGGGAAAAATTCAGAGAAATAAATACATATGAAATGCAATGAAAGTGACTATAAATAAACAAGAGTTCCATGTCGACTGATCAATCTCCTCTTCTTTGTTACAACTAGAACTAGAAATTCTGCATCCAGGGAACGCTCTTCTTGATTTTCAAGTCTGTTTTCTTCCTGGATGGATATAATGAACACTTCTAAGATGACAGTTACACAGAGAAGTTAAGCACAAACAGCAGTTGACTGGAGTCTTGGGTGCTCATGTAGAGAGTATATTTAGACCCCTTTGTAAAACAAAGAACTCCTAAAAGCAGATTCTCAGCAATATCAAGTGGATGGAGCAAATATTAAACTCCAGCCTGGACCCATGTTTGTATGTTAGCCTCCAACGCCTTCTCTCTGCCTCTGCTTTCCAAAGCTGGGTGGATTAATCCCCATGCATACACTGTCAGCCAGCAGCATCAATCTGGTCACGAGATTAGAAGATTAGACAGAGAAGGCCAAGCGTTTGCTCATGGAGCTTATATTTCAGTGTGAGAAGACAAGACAAAACACACAAATAAGTTAACAATATAATTTTGTGGGCAGTAAGTCGTGTGAAGGAAATCCCACACAGTTACAGGATATGCATTACTGAGGGGCTCCTTTAGTTAGCAGTGGCCCAGGGCAGCCTTTCTGACTCACTGTCACATGACCTGAGAAACCAGACATCCAAAAACCTGGTTAGATCTGTGTTGCAGATACAGGATGTAGCTAGTGTGAGGTC